CTCAAATCACATTTTACATTTAAATAAAACTAATACATCTTAAAGTTGCTTAAAAAAGCAATCAACAAACAACCTGTCTTTTTTCCATGTATTCTTCACCAGCATCGCTATAATAATGTTTTTCACATGTGTAGACTTCAGTCTAAACAGAAACTGAAATGGTGAGAGACATAGCAGACCTCACACAGCTTTGTTTGACCCGTAAATAAAAATATGGTGTGTAAAATGCGTCATAAAAAAAGTGATTGTGATTTCTTCTTTATGTTTAGTCAAAATTAGAAAGGCAATAAACTCTTCAAAATGTCAAACTATTCTTTTGATATTCTTAAAGCACCATGAAGCCCATTAGTGAGGTGCTGAACAGTTTCAGTGGCTCTTGCCATTGATTCTCTGGGACTCCTGATTTTCAGTCTTTAAGAGTCAGATGTTTTCTCATCTGCTGTTTTGGTGGTGGTGGTGGTGGTGGTGGAGGGCCCTGTCTAACATACTGGTTTACAATCTCATTGTCATATTTGCAAAAGAATTAAGTGACTCACTGATCCTCCCACATCATCCCAACCAACCAACCAGCATGCCCACATCGCTCTCGCCACCACCGGGATCACCAAATCACCTCACTGCTAGGATTGAGGGTCCAAGGGTCTTTGTCTCTCTAGCACTGCTGCCTAAAGGCAAGTGGCTAAGTGACAAATGAAAACATAATTCCTGCAATCATTCTGTGAATATCTAGATAGAAGCTACAAGCTGTAACCCAATGTCTGGATTCATGAAATGGTGTCCAAGAAACACCATGAAAGGCACTGTTCAAATAAACCGAGGCGCAAGCTCACAAGATAACACGTGATTAAAACATATTGACAACCTGCTAATCACTGTCACTGTTTGTACCGCTGACAGCATGCATAAAGTTTGTTTTGATGCCAAACAAGCGGGAGACCAGAAGCACTTCAAGGGATTATACCAGAAGGGTATATTGCCTGTGTGATGTGAGAGTGAGGGGGAGGTGTGGAAACAAGATATGGCAGGAAACCTATCTACCAAACACCTTTCCACTGGCCGACTGGCAGCCTCGAGGCAGAAGCAAACATGACTCAATCTTTATCTTAAATGCCAGCAGCTAAATTACTATACAGCTCAAAGAGAATATGTATGTGTGTGTGTGTGTATGTGTGTGTGGTCCTGCGCAGTAAAGTGTACAGATGGATGACTCATCCACCAATCATGTGACTCATCAATCACTGCAGTTACCATTTCCCTGCCTTCTTCTGAAATTTTCCTTTTCTTTAGTTCTCTTTCATTCCCGTCTGGCTGCTGTTGCCTTTTCCCTCCCTGTTTTTTTACTCTTCATTTTGATTTTTTTGAGATAGAATAACATCCCTCTATGGGTTTTTCTTTACTTGATTGATGTGGCTGTCACTGAGATTTACTGTCTTTCTCTTTAGTGTTTTATTTTTTTGTTTTAAGCTAAAGAACCAAGTGTTCGTGCTGTTTTTGCTTCGGCACAAATACAACAGAGCACTCGCCAAAAAGCCATGAAAAAACTGAACTTTAATAAAATAATTGCTTTTATTTTTTATCATATAGCAAAACTAGTAATCATCATGCTGTTATTTACACATTGCACGGGCATATTTATTTCACACTGTACATCTTACAATGCTAAAGTGACATCAACAACAACACTCTCCTTTTACAAGACAGATGGCTTCACTGTGGACACAGTGGCCCTCTTCCTTTGAGATTTCTCTTTTTTTTATGTTCACAGTTTATTCAGAGAAGACAACCATTTTGAATTCTCCATACTGTTTTATTTTTTTTCCTCTTTTTTTGTTCTTTTTTTTTGTTCATTTTTTAAGATGCAAGTAGAAAGACGTGCATTTAACGGTTTAAGCACAATCCCTGACTCCCCGGCCTGAAACTTTTCAATGAATTTCTTCTGAAAAATGAACAAAATGTTTTGTAGCCTCTTGGTGGAAATCAGTTGTTTTTTGTTCGTTTTAAAAAAAAAAAAAAAAAAAAGGCTGCAGAACAGATAGCATGATTTCAAGTATTTTTTTTCTTTTAAAAATAAAGGAAAAAAATAGACACAATAGATATGATGCGTGCGTAAAACAAAGTAAAAGTGAACTGGAGATGGACAATGAGAAAATGATCCAAAACATGAAGCACTCCTGCAGAGTCACGGAGCGCTGCATGGATGTGGCGACGGTGGATCTGCCGTAAATATGTTGACACAATAACTTCTGGATCCCAGAATGCTTGAAACCCCTTAGTCCACCAGGTTGGAAGTGTTTAGTGTTTAACTTTGTGCTTTTGGAGTCCACAGGGTTTCTACATTGGGATGATGAGAGAATTATGCAATATGATATTTCCCTTATAGAACCATGGTGCTTTGTAAGGCAAAAATCTGAATCTTGAGTTTGAAAAAAAAACAAAAACATACTGAAATGTGTGTATTTGGCACCTTTGCAAGTTGCAGCTGTTTAAGGTTGATCCAATCAGAAATGAGAAAGGCAACTACACACAGCAAATACAACAAAAAGTATACTGTCAACATTTGACAATTCCCGTGTTCTTTCTCTTTTTCTGTGTGTGTGTGTGTAGATAAGAAGTAATTGAACTACTTTAGTTTTGTAATGTGACGTACAGAATATTAAACAAAAGATACAAAGTGATGTTGTAAACATGATTCTCTTACAATGGCCACATCTGCTTGTGAATGTGTCACAATGTGATTCTATGTAAGTGTGTGTGTTTGCGTGTGTCCTCTATAGATCTCTGAAATATGCAAGAACATCAGAGATTGACCTGAATGGAGGCAGACATACACCATGGTATGTTCTGTTTCAAAATGTAAACTGAGCAAGAGGCTGAACATGGTTACAGGGAGCTTAAACTAGGACACCTTCATCCTCTCCCTGACTGAGAAAATCAACAAAAATACAGTGATTAAACCAACATAAATCTAACTTTTTACTTCTGAAATTTCTCATCAGGCTCAAAACACACCTTCTCTGAATCTTTTTTTTTCCCCCACCTCTGCTTTAGCTTTCCTCCCGCTACTGTATAACTATCCCACATCTGTGAGTCCCTCTGAGCGGACAGTGTCCAAAAAAGTCTCTCAATACATTCTGCGCTTCATGTAGATCCTCTCAATAAAGTTTTCCAGTTCCTCCTCACTGTCCAGCTGAGGCACCAGCCCATCTTCCTCATAGTCATCTCCCGGTGTGACTTGTGGATAGTAGTAGGGGGGTCGCCTGCCTCTCCTGGGTGTGGTTATTGGTTTGGGAGGGGGCAGGGGTTGGTAGGTCCGTGGGTGAGGAAGGATATAGTTAGAGATATAAGGGGTAAGAGGCAGGCGTGGTGGTGGCTGCTGCTTCCAGCCTTGTCCGCGGTTCTTACCCCCGCCCCTGTGTCTGCGTCTCGGGGCCTGGAGGTCAAGTTCCTGGGGGCCGAAGGTCTGGTCTCTGGAGGGGGCGGGCTTGCCATAATATTGTGGTTTAGGATATGGGAAATAAACAGGGTAGTATGCTCGATATGGCTTTTGGTAATATGGATAAGAGGGGAAGGCTAAAAACTGTTTCTGGGGCTTATACCAGTAGTCAAGCTGCTTCTGAGGCTTATACCAATAGTCCTGTTTGTATGACTTGACTTTATCCTTGTGCCATTTCTTGTTGGACTTGTTGTACCTATAAGGGGCTTTCTTGGGGTTTTTTGAGGCTGTGTAGTGATAAACAGGCGGGGCAACCAGAGGAGGAGGTACCAGAGGCCTAAAGCGTGGGGCAACAGGTTTGCTGTTGGTTGGCAGCTGTTGTAACTCTTTCCTTTTTTTCTTCTTCTCCTCCACATCACTAATAATCTCAATCACATCATCGGCAGGCAGGTGCAGCTTGCTGCTGATCTCAATAAGCCTGTCAATCATCTGCTGGTCCAGGTCATCTTCATCAGGAAGGACCTCCTCTGAGCGTTTGTCCTCAGCCGTGTTGCCGGCGGCCCCCATGCTGCTTTTCTGCCGGGGCTTCATGTAGGACTGCTGCTTCCTCCCCATGTACTGCAGCAACATGTCAGAGGCGATGTCTGCCAGCCTCTGCTCTTCCTCTCTGGCTCGCTCGGCCTCCTCCTGCTGCCGGAGCACCTCCTGTTTCTCCGCCCGCGCTCTCGCCTCTTCCTCCATGTGGGAGAGGCTCTCCTCTTCTTCCTCAACCTCCTCCTCCAGCTCCTCTCCTTCATCCTCAAAGTCATCCATGAAGTTGCCCCCCTTCACAGGTCTGTTGCGGGACGGGTTCTCCTGCCAGTGCTGCTTCTTTCCTGCACGTGCTAACTGAGTGTTGTATGCTTTGTAGCCCTTCAGAGGAGGCAGGATCTCATTATCTTGGAGACCCAAGTCAATGTTCTGGAAGTAGCCTCTTATTTTGCGCTGCAGGGAAGGGTCATCTCCCTCTGAGGTGGAGCCTGGCGTGGCCTCATCTAAGAAACTTTCCGAGTAATTTCCCTCCTCCCGCCCCTCTCTTTCGTCTTTCTTTTCGTCCTCCCTTACGCTATCTGTTCCCACATTCTTCACAGACCACCCTTGATCCTCCGACCTTGTGTTGTCATCCTCCTCCCCCTCCCTCTCCTTCAAGTCATCCCCCTGAGCAGCTGCCAAATGGCCTACATTTAGCTGTTCAATAGCCTTATCGGCCCCTCGCCCCTCCTCCTCCTCCTCCACCCCCCTCTCTCCCTGTGGCTGCTCTGTTCTCCTTATCTCACCACCCTCAGAGCCTTCAGCAGAGGGCAGCTCCGGACTCCGATCCCCTTCCCAGTCTCTGTTTTTGCTAGCCTGTTTTTCACTGTCCCCCAGGTGGTCCAGGGCCTCAAGCAGAACCGCAAGCACCTGCGCAGGGTCCGTCACTTTATCTAATTGGCTGTCTTGACCTGGGCCCCGACCCCAGTCTAGGGACATGTTGTCAGGGCTGGAGAGGCTCTGGGGCTGGGGCGAGTGAAAGGGGGCAAGGTTGTCCTCTTTACGATCTGTCCGGGTGCGCCCCTCCACCCCACCCTCCCCTGCCTCACCCCACACAGGGGCGGTGCCAGCTAACTGTGGAATGACAATGAGCAGGACCAATAGGATGAGGTGGGCTGTGGAAGGGGCGTGATGACAGGTCATGACCATGCAGAACTGGCAGGAGGGAGGTTAAGCACCTGAAGAAGGAGAGAAGGCAGAGAGAGAAGGACAGAAGAAGGATGAGAATTTATTCACATATCATTTCTTATCTCTGGAATCACAAATTTGCTTTTTTGTGTTGTTGTTACTTTATTTTCTTTATTGTTTTCTCCCAGTGGCAATGTGAGCATTGGTGTCATTTAAATAACATACAGCTTTGGTGAAAAAGACAAAACGTAGAGAGGACTGACTGGTAAGAAATATTTCATTAAGTCCACAGCCTGCCATAAAGTTTCAAAGAAAATGTACCTGGAAAAATGACCAGTTTTTCAAACAAAACATTTTTACCACAAAGAGGCCACCATATAAAAGAAAACAAACAAAAAAACCCCCCGTTTTTCAGTTATTGTAGAAACCATTGAGGACAAAAGCAGGCAGACGTAGCAGCAAAAATCTCCTCTCTTTTATTTTCGATATAGAGCCTTTTTGACTGAAAAAAAAATGTGGTTTCTAACATTTCCAGCTCCAGTTGTGTCACTGCTGTGCAGCTTGGATACAACTGAAAACATGAAGATGAAGCTCTGAGAAACCAGTCGTGAGTCGTTGAATTAACCGCAAAAAAACAGAGAAAAAGAAAATAAAATTGCGCATTTCTTTGAAGGGATGGGGGATAATCCGCACAAAGAAACTGCGTTTCGATTCTAAACATCGTGCCTTTTTTTTGTCTCGAGTCGCGCGTTAACCCACTCATTACCTACTCATTATCTTTAAGCCGCACGAATCACCTGGTTGGAATAATACATCCCCTGGCGCATTTTGTCAGTGTCACGAGATTTAACTGAGCAAACTGTTTGCAACAGCAACGAAAATGCGCATCCAGTAACTGATTTGCGTCTTTTTTCTGGTATATGTTAAAAATGCCTCACCTCTTCCTCCAAGCCAACCCATCCAAATCGCGCGCACCTCCCATTTTCTAACGTCTAGTTCTTAAAAAAGAAAGAAAGAAAGAAAGGAAATACTGAGAACAAAAACTGGTCCGAGCTCGCGTGTCGGTAATTGCTGTGATTTTGGTATTCCATGCGTCAAAGCGATGTCACCAAGACACTGGCACAGAAAGCTGCAAGCTCGGGGAAGTCATGCGTAAAGCCGGTGGCCACGGTTGAGTTATTTAACCCTACGGTTCCTGAGTGGTCCATCCAAATTGTAAATTAACCGGGCATTAAGTTTGAGAGGATAAAGCCTTTTTGCGCAAAGACAGGAGGGCGCAGCCAGTGAGGATGCAGGGCTTTGTCCTTGTGTGGCGTGAGCATGTTTCTCCTCACTGGCAGCGGTGGAATGCAGACAAGCGCAAATTTTTGGCAGCACAACCCAATTTGATTTTTTTTTTTTTCATTTTATTAAATCAAGAGAAACGAAATTATTCGACTTATCAGGGCCAACTACCTACTCACAAATGGTTGGGATTCTAAATTATTTCGAATTAATAGCTGAAAACCGTCTGTTTAAATCGTGCTTGTTAAAAGAAAAAATACTGAAATCGTAAAAATGTGCACATTTTTTTAAATGTGCGAATTCTTCAAAGGTTTTTAAAAAAATCTTGCGTGAAAATTTTCCCAAGCTCTTGTGAGAGGCAGCTAGAAATGTTTATTAAATATAATTGTCTTCACATTGCAGGGGATTCATTCTTAATTAATACTGAGAGAGTGAAATAAACAAAATACAAAATGAGATATTTTACTGGGGATTTTTTACACTGCATTTAATAATTATTATCATGCCTATACGTTCATAAGAACTGGGTTTGTTCGTAAATGTCACAATAATAACATTGTTTTT